AAAACCCATTAGTTTCAATAATCTTTTTAGCTTAAACACTAATAAATAAAATAATAAAACCAGCTTAGTGGTTAATTTAACAGGCAAAATCCGGTTTTGAGCTATTAAAACCATAACTTAGTATCTCCAGTACTTTGGAGATGTAAAGTACCTATGAATACAAGCCTTTTGTAATTGGAACGAGTAGGTACTTGAGTAAGGGATGCGAAGTAACGAGTAACAATTGGATCCAAAAGTAACTAGTCGTTACGAGTGTTTAAAAGTAACCGAAACTCACACCCCTAATCAACTGGTAAAAATGTCTTTTAGTTTTTCGGCAGCTCGCGCAACTTTTTTTAATTTGAAACCAAAATTCCAAGCAGGAGAGATGGAAATTAGTTTTTCAAAAAAGTGAAAGCCGAAGTTTTTTGATTATATTCCTATCTTTCCTGGGTCGCAGTCAAAGTGTGAAGTAAAAGTGTTGAATATCGTTTATTTCATTACGTTTCGGCGCCACCATCAGATTTAAAATTTACACACACTCATAAGTGGTAAATACAGTTGAGTCCGGATATAACGAACTTGAAAAATGATCTAAAACTGGTTCGTTATATCCGGAGTTCGCTATAAGCGAATAATAATACAAAAACAAGTGGTGCATTTTATTCCGTTATTTTTACATAGAGTAGTAGAAGTTAGTAGGTATGACTAAAAAGGACACAAAAAGATAAACAAAATTCAATTTGAAATCTACTTCATCAAGTCTGTAATTTTTGTTTGTACATTTCTGCTGCAAAAATAGATGTTATTTATGTAGTTTTCAAGATCACAAAAGGACTCCCAGATATGATTAGGAACTTGGCGTGATTGTAGAAAATTCTGAGATTCTGGCACTTTTTTGGTCATTTCAGAAATGGTTGGAACATCATTAGTGTCTATAGTAGAATCAGTTTCACCTAAATCGTCATCTTCCTCATTATCGCTTAAAGCTGTAGATCAATGCTCACATATTCGAAGAAATTGAAATAACTCAATTTAATTTTAACTTGTTCTTCGACAACATTGGGACATCTTCGTCTGTGTCATACTCGTAGTCAGAGTCTTTATACTTTTCTAACCATTCGTTAAATGGAATTTCATC